CCCGATGTGGGACTCGATCCCAGGACCCTGGGACCATGACCTGAGCTGAAGGCAGACACTTAACGACTGAGCCACCCAGGCGCCCCAGTTTCTTATCATAAATATAACACATGCTTATTCCCCCAATTCAGAAAAATATAAAAAAGTACAAAAAGTGAAAATAAAATAGCCTATTCCCTGGAGAGAACTATTAACATCTTAGTATATGTTCCCTTTTCTACACGTTAATTAAAAAGATAATTTTACTAATAGTATTATTTAACTGGCCTTTTTTTACTTAACAGTAGATCGTGAAGATCTTTACTTACTTACAAATACACTTAATGGCTGCACAGGATTCTGCTGTGTGGAAGTTCAGTGACCTATTTAATTAGTCCTCTATAAATGGACATTTTTACTGTATATAAACAATGCTGCATATATTGTCTATGTAAGAACATATGTATTTGGAGAGATTTCATTATTTTCTTAGGATAAATTCCTAGAAGTGGAATTTTGAGGTAAAAAATATTCAGGTCTTACATTTTGATACATTATAATAGTTTTAAATGATAATTATTTTGAAGGCAAAGATTCCAAAATAGCATTTATGGTTCCGATTATGTATGGTCATTATTGAAAAATACAGAGAAACTTTAAGGAAGAAACTAAAAATACCTTTTATAATTCTCCCAGCTAGATATAATTGCTAATGATTTTTTGGCATCATTTCTTATGGATATTTATGTAGATACCTTTTGATCAAAATTGTGACCACTCACACACACACACACACACACATCATTTTATTTTATTTATTTTTTATGTCATTTTAAAGTTATCTCATTTTAAAGTTACCTTATTTCTTTAAAAATAGTACACATTTCGGGATGCCTGGGTGGCTCAGTTGGTTAAGCCTCTGCCTTCGGCTCAGGTCATGATCCCAGGGTCCTGGGATCGAGTCCCACAAACGAGCCTGCTTCTCCCTCTGCCTGCCTCTGTCTCTCTCTCTCTGATAAATAAATAAAATCTTAAAAAAAAAAAAAAGTACACATTTCTAAAACTTTGTAAATAGCAGTATCCGTTGGCTGTAAGGAATAGAAAACAACTCAAACTGGCTTAAACTCTGAGAAAATGTTTTAGCTCTGCTAAATGGAAACTCATGGGAAGGGCTCCCTTTTTCACACTCACGTTAGCAGTGCACTCACTGGTGCTCTCTAGGACCAGGTTCTTTCTGTCCTTTCTGTTGTCTTCAGCTTTGGCTCATTCCCCTGAGTCACAAGTTGGCCTCTGCAGGCAATCTGGGCCAGAAATTTCCTTCCTCAAGCCAGCAGAAAGGGTGAGGACCTCTTGCTCAATCCTGTCCTAACCTTTGTGTCAACTCTCTGACCGTGACGGATGCTCGGGACTGGTAGGAGAAGACCACAGTTTCCCCAACTTCCCCGATGGCCAGAATTACCTGCCACTCTTGCCTAAAATAAGCTTCTGGCCTCTCTGCTGGCCGCTGCGAAGGGGCCTGTGAATTTGAAGTTTTAACAAGCACCTGAAGTAATCGTCATCAGGGAAGTTTGGGACTCACTGTAGTGGGATGGATGTTGGCAAGTTAAGCACACCATCCACCACAGAGCTGAGATCTTTGTTGGCTCTGGTTTTCCAACCAGTACACGGTGCATGGCTAGTGTTTATTTATTTATTTTTGTAAGATTTTTTATTTATTCACTGAGAGAGAGAGAGAGAGAAAGAGAGCACAAGCAGGGGGAGCAGCAGAGGGAGAAGCAGACTTCCTGCTGAGCAGGGAGCCTGATGTGAGCTCAATCCCAGGACCTGGAGATCATGACCTGAGCCACCCAGGCACCCCTAGTGTTTATTTTTTTCAAACTGAATGTATTTTTACATAATTTAAATTTGTTGGCTCTTTATACCTTTTGTAGGTTGCTTTTTTCAAACACAATTTAATGAGGACTCAGGACAAAAATCACTTTGTTAAAATACTTCAAAGAGTCGTGAGAGAAGTCCCCAGAAGTCAGAACATTTACAAATGAAAACCTCAACCTGAGTGATTTGAATGAGGTCAAGTCTTTTTTTTTTTTTTTTAAAGATTTTATTTATTAATTTGACAGAGATACCTCGAGAGAGGGAACACAAGCAGGGCGAGTGGGAAAGGGAGAAGCAGGCTTCCTGCGGAGCAGGGAGCCCGATGCGGGGCTCGATCCCAGCACCCTGAGATCAGGACCTGAGCCAAAGGCAGATGCTTAACAACTGAGCCACCCAGGCGCCCCTGAGGTCAAGTCTTAATGTAGGTCAGAATTCACATCATCATTGACAGTGGGGCCCCAAGAAACGAATTGATTGTTGGAGTTATCAGTAGTGAAATTCCCTTTGTAACTGAAGTAGGTAGAAGTTGGAATTCCCTATAATAATTATTCTTTCAGAAAAAAAATTTTCATAGAAGTGGCACATACTTTTGGAAATAACTGAAATGGTCCAGTCAGAGATATCAAAAGAAAATCTCCAGTTTTGCATGTATACAGTTTGCTCTTCTTAAAACTCAACACCCAAAAAACAAACAATCCAATTAAAAAATGGGCAGAAGACATTAATAGACATTTTTCCAAAGAAGACACACAGATGGCCAACAGACACATGAATAGATGCTCAACAGCACTGATCATGAGGGAAATGCAAATCAAAACTACAATGAGATATCACCTCACACCCTGTCAGAAGGGCTAAAATCAACAACACAAGAAACAATAGGTGTTGGTGAAGATGTGGAGAAAGAGAAACCCTCTTGCACTGTTGGTGGGAATGCAAACTGGTGCAGCCACTCTGGAGAGCAGTATGGCGGTTCCTCAAAAGGTTGAAAATAGAACTACCCTACAATCTAGCAATTGCACTACTAAGTATTTACCCAGAGAATACAAAAATACTAATTCTTTTTTTTTCAAAAATACCATATCAAAGGGATACATCCACCCCAATGTTTATAGCGACATTATCTACAATAGCCAAATTATGGAAGCAACCCAAGTGCCCATTGACTAACGAATGGATAAACGAATGGATGTGGTATATATATGTATACAATGGAATATTGTTCAGCCATAAAAAAGCATGAAATCTTGCCATTTGCAACGACATGGATAGAGCTAGAGAGTGTAATGCTAAGTGATACAAGTCAGAGAAAGACAAATACCATATGATTTCACTCATATGTGGAATTTAAGAAACAAAACAAACAAGCAAAGGGAAAAAAAAAGAGAGGCAAACCAAGTAACAGACTTTTAACTATAGAGAGTGAATTGGTTACCAGAAGGGATGTGGGGGGTTGGGAAATGGGTGAAACAGATGTTGGGGATTAAGGAGTGCACCTGCTGTGATGAGCACCAGGTGTTGTATGGAAGTGTTGCTTCACTATATTGTACATCTGAAACTAATATTACACGGTATGTTAACTAACTGGAATTTAAATAAAAACTTAAAAAAAACCCCCAAACCCCCAAAAATATCTATGTAAAAGATGATCCTGATTTCTATTAAGGGCCTAAAATAACCACTGCTTTCCCTTCAATCATTACCAGAGCTGCAGCTTTGGAGCAGTTCAAGTCTCTTGGTGCTGAGCCCTTGGAGGTGGACTTGAAGGAATCTGGTGAAGGACAAGGAGGATATGCAAAAGAGATGTCCAAAGAGTTCATCGAAGCTGAAATGAAACTCTTTGCTCAACAGTGCAAGGAGGTGGATATCCTCATCAGCACAGCACTTATTCCAGGTATGTCCTTAAGCCACGCTTATCAGTCAAGCACTTTGACTAATGATATTTTAGAATGAGAGTGAAAGTTGTTTAACATTTGAATTTCTTTAAGTAAAGATTGATTTATTTTCTAGAAAGTAAGAAAGCACATGAAAGGCAGAAAGGACAAAAATCACGGTAGCCCCTAGATAAAAATGATCATTAATAGTAGGATCTATTTTCTTCCAGTCTTTTTTCCATATAGTTTTATGTAACTGTGTTCATAGATCATATTCTATATACCATATTATATTCGTAAGCAATTTCCTTTGTTTATGTCATTGATAAATTGGTGTTTAATTTATTTCTGTTCTTTTTGTGAAGATACTACGTTCTTATTGTAGGTCATTCAAACAGTACTGAAAAATATGAAGAAAAAAAGTACAGACTTGCAATTGCCGCAGAGATGACCATTATTAATATTTTAATCATTTTTCCATACATGAGAGAGAAAGAGAAGGGGACTTGGTGTGTGTGTGTGTGTGTGTATTTGTGGAATTTCTGGTATATGTTTTTTACTAAAGGATATGACACTTTATCACTTTTTTAATGATTTCCTTTAGCATGTTTGGTCTTTGCAACCAAATTGCAAGCTCTTTGATGGCAGGAATTACTTTTCAGTCCTTTACCACATCCTCTTTTAAAAAGATTTTTCACTCAATAGATGATTGATGCCAAACCAGTAAGCACTTATTAATCAGTAAACAGTAGCTTGATCTAGCAAGATTTGGGAGTGAAGAAACCCTCCACCTTTTATATTCTTAACCCCTCCTCTTCTCCCTTCCCTTCTGTTATTGAATAGTGAATACCATGCTGACTCTACTATTTTCCTTTCTGAAAGGAAGTGGGTCAGATAATGAGAGCTTACAGGGTTAATGGTTGCTTATGTTAGATCCTACTAAAGGAGCCTTGCTTTCTCTAGGGGACAGTGGAAAATAAAAGTTGCTTTGTCATGAGGTCATGGGAGAGGAGTTCTCTTCTGGCATCTTCCCCCAGCCCCCTGTCTGAATAATCTACGTGCAAGGGCAGGAAGTTGATTGACATCACATCTATGAGCTTGGGGGAAAATATGTCCCCCAAGCTCTTCTTTCTGTCCTCTCTTTACCTGGGTGATACCAGATAGGTGAGCTGGTTTCTCCAGACACCCACATCCCACCAGAGCTGGCGAGATGAAGCAGACGGGATGGGCTGGTGATATAGGCTTAGCCCATAGAAGAATCTGTGAGTGTAGAAATGAGGCAGGGTCGGTTACTGGAGGTAGATGCGGATCAGGCAAGCCAGGGACTCGTGGTGTTGGTGAAATCTGCCAGCTCTGATAGGACTCATGAATAAGCAGTGGCAGGAGAGCACTTAAGGATTTTGTCCTTTCCTTTCATGGCAGTGGTTTGTGGCCCAGCTGTTGCACAGGTGGGTTTGAAGGAGAGATGGGGTGGCCTTTGCTGGAGCCACCACCAACTTCGGAAGTTAGCTGCACCTTGGGGAGAGGTTATGAGCTGACTAGATATAACAAGTGGCCAGTAGAGGGTGCTAAAACATTTCTTCATGGAGTAAATGATCTGGAGGGGAAGCTAGTTTTAGTCAGGTCATGCTCTTACTGGACATAGGATAATTTGGCCGTAGTATATAGAATTATTATTTGATGAAAAAGCCTAAAGTAAGTGGTACAGCTCAAGACATCTTATATAAAATACATACTGACTTTTAGGGCCTACTCCCCCCAATAATATCTTATTTTTTAAATCAGGGCTTTATGGGGCGCCTGGGTGGCTCAGTTGGTTAAGCGACTGCCTTCGGCTCAAGTCATGATCCTGGAGTCCCGGGATCGAGTCCCGCATCGGGCTCCCTGCTCGGCGGGGAGTCTGCTTCTCCCTCTGATCCTCCTCCCTCTCATGCTCTCTGTGTCTCATTCTCTCTCTCTCAAATAAATAAATAAATAAATAAAAAATCTAAATCAGGGCTTTATGGTAAGTGTACTTTAGTAAAAGGTCAAATTGTGTAATAGTCTTAAAGAGGATTTGTTAAAGACATTTTGTTAATCTATTCCACTGAGCCTCTCCTGTTTTCTGTCTTTTCTGAAGCTGTGATCTGTTCAGAGCATGTACAAGTTAGAGGAAGTCCCTGACCAGTGGACTGGCCCAGAGGAGGCACTCAGAGGGCTGGTCTTTCCATTACTTTTTTTTGAAAACCAAAAAAAAAGGAGAAGTTAATGAGAATATTATAAGGAAGAAGGTGATCTTTCTAAAGATCTTACATATCCCTGGGGGACTGAGACCTGAAAGTGTGAGCATTTAAACAAAAAGATGAAAAGATTCTATAAAGGCACAAATGCCCTTTGAAAAACTGTCCTCAGCATTGTACCTTGACTGGTTTATGTCCTGAGCCTTTGCCTGCGTCACCTGGTGGTGTGTTGAGCTCCTTGGAACAGAAGCTTCTCAAGTTTTCCTTGAGTGGTTCCAAAGGGGATTAAATCAAATGTCAGAAGTTGTCCAAGCTCACTTGCTGGGACACAGGTGCTGGGAAGGCTGCACGGAAGACCGGATGGGGATAAGGACACCGAGAGGGGGACATGGGCAGTTAGCTAGCTTTGGGTAGCAATCTTATGGAGTTGGCAAATTTTTGTTCCTCCAAGCTGCACTCAGTCCTTGGGCTTGAAAGAACAATAACATTGTATTTATGTAGATTGTACGTGGAATGAAATATTCCTGGAGTTTGCTAATTATTTTGCTGGTATTTTGTATCACATACTTGTGCTGTCATCTGGACTCCCTGGATTGGGGTGGGTGAAGGGCTAAAGACTAGAGTGTCACTTAATGTAGGTAGCTTCAGGACAGGGCTGACAGTCCTGTTTTGTGGTGCTCTACACACATGGGAAGACTCCCCAACTTTCCTGTCTGGCTCTTTGCCCTTTGGGGCTATTATTAAAAAAGTAAGGCAGTCCTGCCCTCTGGTCATGTTCAGGCTGTGCTCATAATCTTTTCTCCTAAATTTTTTGAAACTCAAGATTTTTCAGCATCTCTATTTTTCTGGAACCTTTTTAAGGAGACTTTACATAAACTTGGAGTATTTAATCAGGAACAGACTGAATCAGGTTGAAAATTGGATCGGTAAGTTAGGGAGGGGTGGGGTGGGGTGAGGAGGAATCCTAGTGGTTTAGCACTGCCTCTGTGTTAGGCATATTTCACCTAAATTCCAGGAAGAATCAGGAGTATTGTGATGCACATGCTAAATCTACTCTGACAGAAACAAGCTTCTCCATTTAAAACCTTCCTGATGACTGCTTCACTACAAACTTGTAAGCCTCATAGGCTCCTCCAGCTTTCCTGCCCCACCCCTTCCCCCACTCAGGTCTTGCCCTTATTTTGTAGTTGAACCATAGCTCCTGGGGAGCCTGGGGTTTTGTTTAGCAATGATGGCAGTGACTTGGACTGCTGGGGTTCCCAGCGTCATTGGATAGAGTCACCTAAAGTGATTAGGCTTGGGTCACAATCCCCATATGCCATGCTATAAAGTTTAGGCTCCTTGGTGAGGTATTGGTTGCCTTTTAGTTTCTAGTTCTGATTTAGCCTTTGGGCTCATGTTAAACTGATTTCTTACTCTCTGGGCCTGATTTCAGTCATGCTGGCTGCTATTATCTTTTCAGATAGGCCAAGGACTGTCAGGCCTTTGCACATACAGTTCCTTCTCTTTGGAATGCTATCCCTGCCCTTCCTTGCCTTTTGAAATCCTGCTTAACCCAGTTACCACTTCCTCCATAGTTTCTGCTTTCTCCTACTCAGCCATAAACACTCTTCTTCCTGCATTCACGGCACTGTCTGTGCCTGGGATTCCCATAGTTCCCGGTCTTACTGCCCGGTAGTGGTCCTGTCTCCTTAGGCATGCAGCACAAGTGTTGGGCTTTTTTCTATCATGGTAGGTCTGTACCATAGGACATCATATAATTCTGGGTGCCTTCCTTAGGTCTTCGTTGTTACAGTCTCTTATTTTTCCAGTGCTGTCCAAGGAATGAGAGAGCGAACACTCTGTTGGATAGGAACACTGCAGAGGCTAACTTAAGACTGGGAACCTAGCTTTCTTAAATTTTCAGAACCAGGATACTTGCCAAGTTTGCAATTTGAGGTGGTTACCTAGGCCTCTCAGGAGATAGAATTAGGAAGTAGTAGCAGGTCTGTCCAGGAGTTAGAAAGTGTCTATCAGTCAGGAAGGAAGATATTCATTGTTTGATTATAAATTATAATATCTTAGGCCATATATACTTGGACCTCTTTTTAGGTACAATCCAGATTATGGTAACAGTACTTTTATCTACTAGATAAGGTCTGTAGAATATACCCTATAAAGGACCCTTGTGATAATTCTACATGACTCTGGAGAATTGGGAGGGGCTCTTTTCCCCGATATGCAAAAAGGCCATATGCATATGACACCAAACTGGAGAGATTTTGCCATCGCCTGGAAAATCAGCATTGGCTCTCCATCTGACATTACTTGTCTTTTTGAAATCTATCTATCCCAAAGAGTAGAAATATGGCACACAAGAATACTTTTTTCACAGTAATGTTCAAACTTGTTCTTTCAGGCAAGAGAATAACTGATACAGTGATATACTCTCCATTTGTGAAACCCCACAAAGATAATATTGTTTTGATGCCTCAACAGAGTTTTTACCTAAAGTCAATGTTTATTGTTCAGAGAAGATTGGTTTTCCTTCTCTGTAAGCATGATGATCTTACAGTACAGAACTATATAGATCAGTCATTTCTAACTTTATTTTTGAATTATTTATTGTGTTTTATTGACTGATCTAATTCGTCGGTCATTCTCCCCTCCCTTAAATGTATCATATGGCTGTATGGAATTTTGTAATATTACTTCTACAAAGTTTCATTTGTTATGAGACTTTTGAAGGACAGAGAGAAACACTTAAATGTTGGCAACATCAAGGGTTGGTAACCACAGGCTGTCTACACACCTCTTGGTAG